CCCCCCCCTCCTCGCTCTTTCTACATTCGCTGTTTAACTGCGATGCATAATCCTTAACGCGGATTGATTTATTTCAATTTCGCCGTGTACGGTACCGCAATTACTGAGATTTACGGGTTTATTTCATGCTAGATTTGATCGCGAGGCAAATATCCCCCGTTAGATTCGTATCGTGTATAATCCAGTCGTCGTCCATACGAATCGCATTTTGTCTTCCGCACCGGCGTCCCCGGCTTATTTATGTGCGAGGCGGGGAAGAAAGAAGGAAATGCACGTCTGTGTAGCTTGTATTCGCGTGGGAGGTCAGCGCGAAAGGAAGGAAGACAATCAATCTTGATCCCAATTATCGCGTCGCTCAGCGACTGTAATTGAGTCGGTCTCTCGAGCCTTCGACCGTCCCCGCCCTACGCGGCGCCGTTTCTTTTGTAATGCCGGAAGGCCGAAACAATGAAGGCACCAGGAGTGTTCCTCCATTGCACCCGTGCGATTCGACGGGAAGCATTTTTTTCGGCCTTGGCACGCCTGCTCGTTTCGCGCCGGTGGGTTATTAAGAAACGAACGGCCAAGGATTATTTATCGCTCGTGTTATCGATTGATAAGTACGTCTCGCACGGCGGACTCGACGGAGGATTTCCGCTGACGCGATCCCACCTCAGCGGAAACGTTTTGATCCTCTCCCGGCTTTTTATCGCGATTTTTTTCACGCAAAACGGCACGTATCATATGCTGGCATTTGTAAAACAATATGTTATGAAAGTTATTCCGCCAGTGATTGTCCCAATTCAATGAAGTGTAATATTTTTTCGAATGACGACGCGACAATTAAATTCGCCCGGAAAACCACCGAGGATATAGTGGGTAATTTTTTGCCCGCTCGTATATAATCCGAGTGTAAGACTGTCAGCCGAAAAAATCGGCGAATGTTTCTCGCGCGCAAAATTTCGAATTTCCACGCACTCGCGCGTACGAAACGACGACGCTCGGTGTTAGAGCGACGAATTTAAGCCGTGTTTGTCTAGATCGCGTAAGATTAGTCCCACGAAACAAGTGGGATCTCGTTGCTGCGTGGCTCAGACGTTCTTTATCACGTCGTCTTACGACGTAATAAGGTTAATACCGTCTCCGGATCGACAATGTAAAAATACTAAAGCCTGCCTTACGCGCGCCATCGCCTTATGTCGAGCCATTCGCCTAAGCGGATAAACGTGAAATCGAATATCGCTCATTATTGTCCCGCGTCGGTTTTATATCCACTTGTCAGTATAAGAGCCCGAAAAAACGATCGTTCCCCGTGGATAGCCCCATGCGAACGTTGTAAGTTCTCAAACGGCGCACACGCATCGATGTCGTAAGTTATATCGTTTGTCTAAAACGTCGAGTGTGTTCCACTTTTATGGCAGCTTCGGCCGGGACATCACGGGCTCATCACGGGCCATTAACTCTATAGTTACCGAGTCTTCTCGACTGTGCACGTCGTCGGCTGGTGCATCTCCCTGTGTCTACTAACGCGAAATAGACAAAGAGGGCGGTGTGTGTCGGTGAACTTTGCACTTTAACGTTATTATACTATATTTTCCAGTGTATAAACATCTATACATCGATCCGGGAGAGCATGGGGGGGGGGGACACGAGGCGATAAAGAGTTCGGACCTTAGCAGAATGGCTGACTTATTGATTTAAGACAATATTTTAGGCCTTAAATCCTTCGTCTTCAAGGTCCGGTTTTTCATTTTCCAGTTGACTTGTGGTCTAAATTTAAATTCATGCAAAAATTGTATTTTTCTATTCATGGTTAATCGTTAAACTGATGGTTTTGTAGTGGTAACTTTTAAAATTCAATGATTAACCACGAATAGAAAGACATAATTTTTACGTTATCGTGAAGTTCAGCCTAAGTCACGAGTTAATCAGAAAAATGAAAACCGAGCTTAAATAACGCTCAATATGATTATCTTGTGGTCCGAGTCTTAGACTAAAAAAATCGTTCCGTTTATGAACGATGACAAATGACCGTTGTAAATAAAAACAAGTAAACAGATAATGACTTAAAGATTTAAGGTATAAAGCATTTGTCTTAAAATTATAAGTTAACCATTCTGCTGAGGCTCTTCAGTATCGACACGACGCGCCGGAGAGATGGGCGAAGCGCAACGATTGTAGGTGTTCACTAATCTCGGCGGATATCTGGATTCGTCGGGCATTAAAGTTAAACCCGTTTAGAAGGATGAAACAATCCGGCCGTTAAAAGATCTCTGAGATATTACGTCATTATGTGCGAGATTTACGGGGCCACCCGTCTCTCTCCGGAGATCCTCTAAATATCATTAAAGTTTCATTAAAATTAGAGAGGGAGAGCATTTCGCACGGCTCCCCGGAGAACGCTGTTTCTTATCAGTAGACCCTTTAAATCAACTTTAATACTGCGCCCACCGGTTAACACCGTCTAGAATGTACATCGGCTTAAATATCCCGAAATTATATTTATTTGCGTCATTATGACGCCATCCTTGGCCTGGCGCATTTTGTAGCCACCGCTACCGAGGAGGACCGCGGTATCGGGCGTACAATCGACGTAATAAGTAGCGATAATAAGAGTTCGAGGAGCAAGTTAATTGCACAAAGTCCGGAAGACCGTCGCGATCTTCCGAATTCTCGCCGGATGTGTTTAACTTTTCCGAAACATCGTTCGTTATTTCGTCCTCGATAAATTCCCCCTCGCTTCCGCCTCGTCTCGTCTCCGCGCGGAAACTCCGTTGTTCGCGTTGTTGGATCTTCTCTCTTTCTAGTTCTCTACATTTCTAAGGTATCTCTCCTACCTTTCGATGCTAGAGTTTACACGGGGAACGAGAAACTTTACGAATCACTTGGCTGGCTTAAAGAACTACCGGTTCTTCATTAAACAGAAAATAAAAGTGGAATAGCCGAGAAAGAGAGCAGATAGAGAGAGAAAGAGTAGAATAGAGCAGAGAGAGAGGGGGGGGGGGCAACTGAACACGAGGAGCAACAAACGTCATCGACTTGAAAGCTGGGCCGCGCGCGCGACACGCGATCGCACGACACGCTCATCGTATACGTTCCGGGCGCGCTCAAACGGGAATCTTGTCGCGCGCAATTAGTCGTGCTTAAACCGCCCCGTGTCAACGAGAGGTCGGCTCCTGTGGAGGACGGGCGCGCAGAGAGGTCGACGACGATGACGACACGACGACGAAGACGATGAAGAGGGCGGAGCGTTTCCTCTCGATGGGTCGAAACTTTCTCGTGCCGCGTACCTACACATTATTCCTCGAAACTCTCGAATGTGCTTAATTAGGCGATATTTGAGCGCTCGTCCCACCGTCACCACCGACACGATCACCGCTTTCTCTCTCCCTCTCTCTCTTTTCCTCCCTCCCTCCCTCCCATCCCTCGCTTCCTCTCGTTCTCAGCCGCGTAGCCGCCGCAACCCCTGTCTGACGGAGTTTACGCTCGCAAGCCGCTATTACCGAAAGCCACTGGATTTCCGTAAGAAAGCACGGGCGGCTGACGGTGGCTACCCTCTGGTCTATACATATATATATATATATATACATATATATGTATGCAGTATATATAGACGTCTTACCTGAACTAATATTGTTAAAGTCTAATTAGTACCACCGCGACATTGAGCGCGACCTCGCCTCGCCTTACCTCACTCCGTCTGCCTTTCACCTTCCTCCTCTCTTCCTCCACTATCACCCTTCGCTTCTCGTCGGATCTCTCTCTTTCTGACGCGCTCAGGGCTCTCGACGACGCTCCTTCCACCTTCCCGTCTTCGCACCACTTCCGTATTCCGGTCTTGTGCCCACAACTTACCCCGTAAACCGCGTTACACTTCGTCCCAACACCCAAGTTACGAGGAGGGTGAAACCGTGCGAGAGAGAGAGAGAGAGAGAGAGACACACACAAGCGAGAACCTGATACAGAGGGTAGTGGTGGATGCCAGTGGGTGGCTTTCGGATATTAGCTATATTATGAACCACTTGTACGCGAGTGCGTTTCATTTGTGGATAAATTGCAGGGAGCTCGCGTTACGCACGGCTTCGCGCATCCAAGACAACGCCGCATCCCCGCCTGGATGCACACACCTGCGTAAATATAAGGGTATATCGACGAGCGTAGTCGTCGTCAGGAAATTAGTATCTGCGTTATTATAGTTGTCGAGTGGTTACGAATATCGGATATCTCGCGGATCATCGTGATCGCGGCGATGCAGAAGAGCTTGGGGGTGTATTTTGCGATCTCTTGTCCGTGTGGTTGTTAATATATTTATACCGACATCCGACATTTGACATTAACGGATCTCATTGAAACGTCGTATTGTCTCAATGTCGTATTGTCTATGTGAACCGATGAGTTGCAGGTTGGGATGAAATTTGGCGAGTAAGATTTAGTTCGCAAAATGATCTCGGCGATCTCGACAAATAGATCGGGAATCGGCTCGACTACATGATATCTTCCTTGAAAGTCATTTGGTTGAAAATCGATCCGTTTATTACATTAATTATGTTGTTAAATTAATCGTAAAATAATTGCAAAGTGTCATCGCGATATGATTGTCAATTCGTAAGTTAGCAGCGACCGACTTTAAACACGTTCCGCATTTTTGTTCTAGGGTCGGTGTAACCGGGAGAAGCCGCCGTGCAAGTATTTCCATCCTCCACAGCATCTGAAAGACCAACTCCTGATAAACGGTCGCAACCACCTAGCATTGAAAAACGCACTGATGCAGCAGATGGGCCTTACGCCGGGTCAGCCTCTCGTGCCTGGCCAGGTACCAGCAGTGGTATGTCCGACAAATTAACGCGATCGTTGCACCACGTCTTTCTGCTGTCGACACATTCACATATACACACATACACTGTCTTTTATCACGAGATCGAGAGATCTGAATTTTTGTCTGTGTTTAGTCGAGGGTTATTCTACCTGCCCACCTACACTAGATTACGTTTCTCGGTAGGCGACGCTGCGTAGATTGTCGACGGCGCGGTGTTCTAAGCTTTCTCTCCTGACACCGGTATCGAGAAACTCGAGAAGCTAGAGACTCGCATTAGAAGAAGCCACATTCGCGAATCTTTTCACCCGCGTTACTTAAAAAAAAAAAGAAAAAGAAAAGAGAAAAAACCAAAGCACTCGGCAAGCTCGGCCTGCCGGTAGCGGGACTTTCTCAAGTCGTCGTACGTCCAAATGCGCAAGCACTTCGCCGTCCATATTTACCTGCGTTCCTTCTCGCGGGCATTGCACCGAGAGATCAAGTCTTGAGGAATTTCGAAGTTTAGCACGCCGCATGTTCTTGGTCAGTGTCATCCCTATTTCCCGGAGAAACCCGTTTGATCCATATACTCTCGATAGACAGTCAATTTTGCAGAATCGAGTCTCTTCGATACGCTCTCTCAACGCAGATCAGCGGCTCTTAACCTCGTTACTTCGTGTCACGGCCTCTCTCCCGAGATTCCGATGCTTCGTCACTTTTACTCCCTTTATTATTAGTTCTTTTAATTACGAATTACATCCCCCTTTCGAGATTATTTTTCAAGTGTAAATCTAAATACAATGGACTCGTGGACATTTTTGGTGACCACCCGCGGATCGCCGGTTAAGAGCCCCTGATGTAAACACATTAGATTTCTCATCGCAAACATTTTTCGTATTGTTCGTATTTATCACTCGACGGGAGGCTCGTTAATTACGGGCGAGACACAGCACTGCCGAAGGCCCCGAACTTTCAAACGGCCGACAGAGAGAGACGTCGGAGGAAAGCGGGTGTAAGTTTCTTCGGTTCGTCAAAATTTCACGCGACATCGCGTGCGTCGTCGGTGAGAGGCACTCGAGGCGGGTGCGCTTTCGACCGACCCGAATAAAAAATTTTCGACAACCGACGAAACTTCTCCGCGTTTCTTTTTTGATTTTTATGTGTTCTCTTTCTCTCTCTCTCTCTCTCTCGCATGTAGGAAGCCGCCCAAGTCGCGCGCGGTCGGCACGCGTGCGAGGTCTCCTCGTCGTTTTCTTTTTCGTAATCGGCGCAGTGATTAAAAGTCGAGACTCGTCATTAACGTCTGCCCTCCTCGTTCGTTTTTCTTCTCTTTTCTTCTTTTATTTGTTTTTTTTTATTCATGACATACATTCATAGTCGTTGCTACGTGACATCGAACCCTATATTACTCGTATGACTGCCTGTCTGTCCCCTATGTTTGCCGCTGTGGCTCACGTGGTTGTGGTTGATTGTTGGTGTGTTCTCCAATTACGTCATTGGTGAACAGGAGGCAACGGCACCTCCGGCACCACACCATCACCTTCAACAGCAAATCCAGCAGCAACTTCTCGCTACCCACGCCTTTATGGTAACTCCTGGTTTTGGTTGGCTTCCACTAATTTTTTAGTTAATTCAACGCCACGCTGGCTCGCGGTGGACGTAAATCCGCCGGTCGTCCACGTCGACGGACGTTGCGACGACGGATGGTCGGACAATGATCTGCATTTGCTGTTCCGCAACGTTGCGCGATATCACCGCGATATCGCGCGTATCTTTCGTCTCGCGATAGACACGAGTTTCGCAGATTTACGTCCGCCGTAGCCATTGAAGCGATAAGCCTGTAATTAGTAAGCGTTCGTACGAGAGCTTAAGTTGATTTTAAGAGCGCGCCGCACAGCGAGTCGAGTAACTTTGATTTGCATGCTTCACACGAGGTGTGTTTCCGTTTTGTTTATTGAAGATTAAAGACTTTTGTCTGTACACGTTCTCTCTCGAGTTTTCCCGTAGTAGAGAAAAGCATGAGGTAATTGCGGCCGAGTGAAATCCGCGCGTCCTTTGGTTCCCGAGACGGTTTCTCTTGGAAATATTTTTCTTCGCAGTTGCGCATCGATAGACATCGCGGCAAATAGCTACATTCGGTTGTAAATGAGAAATCGGGCTCATGCGAGAGCCAAAAGACGCGAGAATGAAGAAGAGGGATGCGAGGCGTGGTAATCTGGAGATTGTCGGTGCCGCGATCGCTCTCGTGGAACGAAACTCCTTGTCTCTCTCGGTATCCCGAGAAATTGGCAGCCGCTGTTGTGTTCGCCGAACGTGAATACCGGCGTGAATACCGACTAACATTTTCGAGCGATTACCTAGCCACGCTTTCGAAAGCTTGTTTACAACAACGAAAGCTCCCAGGGTAGTAGCAGAGAGACCTTTGAGAAGAAGGGAGGAGCGTTCGGCTCGTTCGGATGCGCTTGAAATTACCTGCCTTCGCTTCTGGGAGTCAGCTCTCGCTGCAAAACCAAACGCTTCGTGTGGGAACGTACGCTTGTCGTTAAAAGCGATCGTGGGTGGGGTCGAACGAAAAGCACGAGAGGAGCGAAAAAGGAACGATTAAGGCTTCGCGAGGTCCGCCCGCAAACGAGGCGCCCTTTTCTTTGCGGATTCTCTCGCCTTTGGCGAGCCGAAGCTCGTTTCTCAAGTTTACGAGGCCGCGGTTTCACCCTCCCACGTCATTATCGTGCGCGCGCGCGAATCCTTCCTGAGGAAGTCACCGTCCATTCCGGTGGATTAAATCCGGGTGTCGATACCTTTCGAGTTACAAACAACGGCCAGGGATGTGATTACGAGAGAACTTCCCGGATGAAGCTCTGAACGCGGGAACAACCGCCCGAGTAGAAATTAATCGAAGCTTGCCCCGGGTCTGTAGTAGCCCTAGGTAGGCGTCATACAAAATAGGCCTACCTTCGTCTAGATATGGCCAAGGAAGGCCCTGAATAGGTATTAACATGGATATTCCGAACGAGGTATGTGCTTATAGGGCCCAGTTATACAGTTCTTGAAATAATTTCAAATGAAATCCTAAAGAGATTTTAGTAAAACCTACCATAACAAGGTCGAAAGAAAACCAAATTAATTAACTTTGATTTTCGTTCTCAAAAATGGCATTTAAGTGGAAAATTTAACACAGACTATAAGTGAGCATTTGAATTTCCTTATAAATTGGGAGTATAACAAAATGTGGTCTGGTCAGACGTACCAAGATACAGCTTAATTAAACATTCGAAGGTAGGGCCTAGTTAGATTTATAAATTTGTACAACATAACGCTCGTACAATTCAGGACCAGTTTTGCAAATTCATCTAACCAGGCTCTGACTGGGCTCTATGAGCCACAGACCTTGTTAGGGGCATCCACAACAATGCCATTCACGAAATTCCATTCAGGATTTGTCTTTCCAGGTCATATCTAAGCCCAACGAAGGCAGACCTATTTCGAGGCCTATCGAGAGCCACAACAGACTTGGGGCGCGCCCCGATTGACTTCTACCTGGGTTCCCTAGTCGAGTTCGCGCACACACTTCGTCAATTCGGAGAAAAATCGCGGGATATATTTCGCGAGTCAATGTCAATCAATCGAAAGTCGTCACGCGACTTGGCAATATATTAATTCGTAATTCCATTGCTCGCCGTTATTAACGGCGCCTCACGTATGCAGCCGAAATTGAAGCGAACCCGGCGAATACCTCTCGCACAACGTTGTATATTGCGCGTCTGAAAGTTAATAAACACCGGAGGGAATGTTACTCGCGAAGCCTTGATGCACCTCGGAGCGGAATTTAGTCAGGAAGGGTAGATTACGGTGTACAGCGGGGCATTTGGCACTCGGTAACACGCGCACGGAAAACGCGCATGCTGACTCCTCGTCGGAGAGGCAACGAGCCCGTCAACTCGAAACCAAGCGCGTTTTAGGAAAATTCTTTCCTCTCTTTCCGGCTCGATGCCGACCTCAAGTGTCTTCCGCTCACCGATTGCCAAGTGTCCCTCCTACGGCACGATATACGATATTTAAAGCCACGGTATAGAGTACGCGTCCGACTAGTATCGAGAGAAAGCGCGCGTGTCGCGGCCGAGGAGGGATCGCGCGGAGCGAAGGTAGGGGCAGGTGTATTCTAATCTGTGTTACCTGGATACCTTCCGGGGTGTGTTTTCGCAGGCGACGAATCCGTACCTGACCGGTATGCCGCAGGTGGGCAATACATACAGCCCGTACTTCGCGCCCAGCCCGATAATGCCGGCGATAATGGGCCCGGCAGACCCGACGGGCGTCGGCAGTCCGCTCGGCGTGGTGCCGCAGACGGTGGCGATGCCGCAGAAGATGCCGCGTACCGACCGCCTCGAGGTATGTCTACCACCAAACTACATTCAACAACAACAACAACAACAACAACAACAGCAACAACAACAACAACAACAGCATGGGGCCCAACACGGCGCAGCCGGGGCCTCAAGGTGCCCGATGGCCGCGCCCAATACCGTGTACCAAGTGCCGGCCGGTCCCCCCAATCAGGTGTCGCCCGTATCCACGATGCAATCTGTCAATCCCCCGCCGTCCCCCACCACCATCACCACGACGTCCCTGTGCACTCCCTTGCACAATCCCCATGCCCATCATCATCCCATACACAACCTCATTTACGTTCACGCGTATTACTAGAGAGAGAGTTGTATTTGCCTCTCGACACGTTATGGAGTTTCGAATCGGCACGACGCCGTGGCACGTACGCCACGACGGCGTGCGGACGTTCGAGACGAGGTGGATCGACGTCGCGCCGACGGTGTGGTCACTTCCTTTCGTCTCTTCGGTTCGATTTTCGTTGTCCTCTTTCCACCCCCTTCCCCCATTTTTGCCTTCGTTCTATACACTCTCTTTCTTTTTCCGTTCGCGTTTTTCCCCCCCAACCCCCCCCCCTCCCC